TATGCAAATATACCATGGAAGTGAAATTCTATGACCCTTTACATTTTATAAGTGAGTGTGCCTATCCAAAAAATTATGAGAATAATCAAGGATTCGCTATTTGATTAATATTAATTAACATTAAGTGATTATCAAAACGGTGTAGTTTTAGAGACTTTGAATAGACCAAATTACACATTGTCGATCTCCACAGGCATTATATCAACTTGAAAGCCTAAAAAGGAAGGCAAAGAAAAAGGCTTTCTTTCTTTATCACCAAAAGGGTATCTTTTAAAGTAGATGTATTATGCAATAAAGTTAAAACACAAGCTCCATTTTAAAAAATTCCCCAAAAATAATAACAATAAATAAATAAAACTACTCTCAATTCAAAAGTGAATTGGTAAGTTTTCAAATAGTGATTCATCCAGAACTTCACATCCAAATAGTGTTCTATACATATATATATTATTTCTTGGAATCGATGTCGTAGTTGTATGGCTTGCTGTAATAGATCCTTGTAACCAGAACTTGTTGCAAGACTTTATGGTAGGTGATACCACTGCGCCATCCCAATTAGATAATAGTATTTCAATATATTAATATTCAATTTCCAAGCAAATCTACCATTTTGACTCTCTTTCTCTCTTTCTTTGTTAATATAATTTAAAAATAGTTGTTAGGTTCGATGTTAATTAGGATTTTTTTTTCTAGTTTTGGGTTCGAGATTTGGAACCTCAACCCAAAAAACAGAACTTAGAGAAACGAGAGGAGGGAAAACCTTCAAAATAACCCTAATATATATAAAGTGATAGGGAAAAAAACCATCTATTTCGACTAAGAAATAAGCATAAAACAATTGAGCAATTAAAGAAATCAAAACCATAAAGAAAACACAAGAATTTACATGCAAAACACCAAATCAGTGAAAAACCACGGTGCACAGAGAAAAAATTCACTATATGAAAAATTATTAGAATCACACATATTTCTCTCCCGATCCCAATACTATTCAATTAACTAGAGTTAGTATACCAGATTGGTTCTAATTAGGATAAATAAAATCTAAAGACAGTCTTTTTAGAGTACTTGGAGCACATCTCCTTCCTGTATATTTTCAATATAGGACAATTACTCTTCTAATATTTTGCGAAAACCCAATAAAAGTAGGTAATCATTATATCACGGAGGTAAAGTAAGAAAAAAAAGTGGAAAACAAGTGAGGAAATTTGGTTCAAAGTACTCTTTTAATTTATAGCCTCCTTCATAAGCTCTAAGGGGGTGGTTTTTATGTAAATATATTAAGAAAAAATTTAAAATTAGATATATCATTCAATTATAGATGCTGAAATAATCATATTTCAATCTTTGAGCTTAACAAGATAATTACAAAACTCTGATGTTATACTAAATAAGTTATTGATTTAAAATTTTAGTACAACTCTCCATTTTTTTTTTTTTGGAAATTTTGTTAGTGTATGTGTATAAAGTAAAACATTAAACCCAAAATTTTCAAACTTGTAAAACAAATTTCATACTTTAGGAAAAGGGAATATTGGAAAAAATTTTAGTACAACAAAATAGTAAGGTTCTGTACTTAATAATAATACTTTGTTCTTTTTTTCTGTTTCTGAAAAAAAAATGAAATTGATTTTAATTTACTCACATTCTCTTTATTTTGTTTAAAATTAAATTCTTCACCAAATTATTAAAAAAAAAACATGAAACTACTCGGTTTTATTTTATTTTATTTTAAACTTTTGTCATAACTTAAACAATGATTTTTAAACAACAATTTCATCTCTATTTTTAAAAAATTTATTCCACCCTTTATTTTCTCCCAATAAATGTAAAAACTTATGACCCTTCTAATTTGATTATAAAATATATTTTATTAATTAAGCTAATAAACCACTCTTAATTTTAATTTTAAAAATTGAACATGTCCACTCATAAAATCAAAACCTACCAACTTTGCTTGGCTCAAAATATCTATTAACTTACTGGACCCATAATAAGTGCTACTATTTAAAAAAATTAAAATTAAAATTAAAATATCATTAATGATCGATGTTCACTACAACCCTATTTTTTAAATTTACAATTCATCATTATTTAACCATCTATAGATTGCAGGAAATTAGTGGAAAAAACATAAGATATAAAAAATAATATTTAATTAAAACTTCTAAAAGCTTAGGGACAAAGTTAAACGAATGAAATGTATTCGGGGGAAAATTTTACATTGAGCCAAATAGAAAGCTAAAAATTATAGCACAACATTCAAACGAGCTCTAAATGACGGGTATATAAGAGAGTTTGCGCAACTAAATTACATACTTATCATACTCATAATCATAATTGTTATCGGGCAAAATCGAGGTGTGTCAAGTGTCGAAAGCTCATCCACCCATATGGGCTAGGTCAAAAAAGAACTATTAGAGATCGAGTGCATCTGACCCGATCCCGAGTGCACGTAGACATCCCATACATGGGACAACTAGCGGGCAGGTGCTGACACCTTGTACTCAAACTGTGATATGCTTCAGAGGATCAACAAAGGCGCCGCCACACCCCCCATTTGTGGGACAGGGATAAAAAGACTTCCGATGGTCCCGCTGGCCATGAGCGCAGCACGCCACCTCCCTATCTCCATCCTTAACTCTTGAACCCATCCTCTCTCTCTCCATATATATAAGAAAAAGAGCAACCCTAATTTAGATAACTCGTATGTATTCCCTTACATAACTTCCAATCCTTGTGAGAATTCTCGATGGCCATCGGACACAGCATGCCACCTCCCTGTGTCTCCGTCATTCACACTCTCAAACCCAGCACTCACTCTCTCTCTCCATATATATAAGAAAATAACAACCCTAATTGAGATAATTGTATGTCTTCCCTTATACAACTTCCGATCCTTATGAGAATTCAGCACACACACTCTCAAGCAGACTCTCATTCTCGAGATTACGGTCCTCTTACTCTCTATTTGATTCACACATGTTTACTCCCAACTTGAATTATAACTTAAGCATCAGAGTGCATTTCAGCAGAGCACCGCACTAATGCTAGACTTTTGTGTGCAGGCAACAAAGACTTTGGAAGCAAAGATGTTCATGACACCGACGTAACACTCACCCAGAAATATATATGCCTCTTTCTCTAGAAAACAAATGATTCAAGACCTTAATTTGAGGGGGAAAAAAGAATGGGAAATTTTAAGAAAGAAATATCAAGAAATTTGAGTACCAAGTATTTTTGTACTAGGAAACTACATGTGCTTAGAAGCCCCAAAGAGGTGATATCACATGTTCATAGAATGAGGCTTGTCTCCTTTAACCATTTGCATGGACCAATGCATTACAAGAGAAGAAGAAAAAGCACAAAGCCTAAAATATGGGAAAGTGTCAAAGCATGTGGGAAGAACAAAAAGAGATAAAGAAAACAACTTTCTTTTCCACCTCATTTTTTACAATT